TTGTTCTTTTTCTTTTTCTAATATATTTTTATTTTCAGTTTTACAAATATCTTTTGTATTCAAATATAATCAATTTTATACATATATAGGATTCTCTGAATCCTTGGACTTCCCTCCATCGCCCACCCCCGTGGTTTCCATAATGCTTCTTTTTATACTGCATCTTATAATATTATCCAAATTTATATTCAAATTTCCATTTATAACCACAGAATTATTACATTACAAGTGTTATATTAATCCTGCTAACGTTTTTAACTGTGTACAGTATTCATTAAGGTAATCTATTAAAAAAATCCATTCTCACATTGCTCTTTTTCTGTAACAGTGAAAGAAAAAGACTAACCTTCAGACCTACCAAAGGGGGAGGAAATATAGTTTTAAAGTATTTTGAAATAGCCTCATATAATTATGGGTGTTTGTCTATGTGTTTGCTTGTATGCCTGTTGTGAATGCCCATGCATCACCAAATCTATGAAAAGAAGTATATGTGATGGTCACTAAACAAAACACGAACAAGTCAATGCAAATCTTCTCATTTTCTGAGACTCTGTGTGGCAGAAAATGTATGTGCAACCTTCAAGCAGCGTGGATGTTCAAATGTCAGCACAGGGGTGAGTCTGTATTTGTGTCTACACTCAACACAAACAAACATCTGGATGAAGCATCTGGCAGCAGCTCCAACATCTGTTTCTTCCTCAATTTGCCTGTCAGAACACTGAAGCTGGGCAGCAGTTTGGAGGGCCTCCCATACAGCAAGCAGGGGGGTTAATAGGAAAAGGGTGAGTAAGGCCAAAGCAGTATTAAACCTTGTTTAGGTTCTGCCTTTTTTGCCTCATCCCCAGCTGCTGCCTCCTCACAGGGAGGCAGAGGCCCCAGCGTTCTTCACATGCTTCTCCCTGCCCCCTGCCACTGGGCCTGCCTAATTTCATTTGTATCAGTGAATCAACTGGATTTGCTACTGGCCCTGTAGCTCTCATTTGGTACACCAGTCCCCAATAGTGGCATGGAACCAGGATGTGGTTCACTGATGCACTTCCATGACATAACCTCTGCCTTCTGAGACAGGCTTGCATTACAGCAAGAGATGGGAGCATACAAACTGAGTTCAAGATTGCTATATGGCCCTAAATAGGCCTCCCTTATCCCAGTCAAACATTAAAGAGGTAGCATAGTTGAACCTGTCAGGCTCTGGCTACTAATCACAATGACTAGAGCTCAAACAGGGATGGGAGTAGAGGCTGCTGTCATGGCTTGGATACAAGCCAGATCTTTAACCAAGAAGCAAGAAGCAAATATTTTTGTTTGTTCAGAAATGCCAACACCATGTGTAAAAGCTAGGGACCAACATATGATTTAAAGCATTCATAATGTAACCTTCATAGAACCAACCAACCAACCAAATACAAAAGCATTTTTCCTAGGTGAGTTTTTTAAAACTTGCCCAGTGCCCATAGTTTATCTAAACAAATCCCTACTTGGGTAGGGGGTCCATACTGTCTGAGAATTTTCTGCCCTTTTGCTGCAAAGTGCTTAAAGAGTCAACATGAAGCAAACTGCTTTGGTGTGTTGGAGCTGTGTCCATCTCCCCACCCCCACTTTTCAAACTCATGCACATGCAAGTGGATGACTAGCCAGTGTATGCTTCTCTTCCCCGCCACAAATTTGGAAAATGAATAATGGAAATTCTCTTGACTACACTCCCAAATTACAGTGATCAAGGAGGGTGACTGACAGCATACCCATGTGACTTGTCAATCCACTGAATGGCAGCAGCTCACTGCATATTTTTTTTCCTGAGACAGGCATAGTTCCTCATGCACAGCTACAGCTAAAAGTATCATGGTGGTTATATTTATATAGGTCCATCAATACACATGGTACCTTACAGAGTTATACAGCCAAAAAAACCCCAGAACAATTTATTTAATCAACAGCTATGTCCTTCTGCAGCTTTGTCAGAAGTTGGAACATACTTAGCTATTCACTCGAGTGAAATAAATAGGTCTCAGTAGTGCCCTTCATAAGCAAATTACTTTAGTAACCAATGGCTTTTTCCACAATCCAGCAAAGTGCTACAAAATCATACTTACACTAACTAGTTCTGGAGCTGGGATTATAGAAACACAGAATCTGCCTAACTGTTCAATAATCTAACACTAGCTCAGGCTCAGCTCCTAGACATGGCACAATCTTTCTTTAAAACAACAACAGCAACAAGTTTAGTATTCACATTTACAAATTCTACACTTGTTATCCTGCCTCATTAGCAGGGAAACATACAATCAAAACCCTCAGGGCTCATCCACACTTACTTTTGCTCTGCATTTCTAGGCATGGGTCTGGGCTGTCCAGGTCCCACAGCTTTTTTTTTTTTTTTTTTGCGCTCTGGTGTTTCCCCCATGAAAACCTGCTGTTGAATCTGAGCAAGCAGCAATCCACGGAAAACTGGAATTGCTGTTTGTTCTGATTCAGCAGTAAAGATTTTGTTTTTCCTGGGGAATGCGGTGGGGCAAAAAAACATGGACTGGGAAAGTGTGGACCTGTGCCTAGAAAACACCTGGCAAAAGGTATATGTGGATGAGCCCTCAGACAGGCTAAATTATGAGATTATTTGGTAGTTTAATGATTCACTGAATCTATGTTAGGATGGAACAACATTTGTACAGCTCTATTCTGGAAAATATGTTTCAGGAGAATTCATATAGTTTGTATTTTCAGAAATCTGACTCCAATTGCTGTTTCAGAAGCACAGCACAAATGATACACAACATTATTAATGAACACCTTTTTCATCTGAAAGCCAAGCCTCTAAGAGCTTAACATTTTGGAGGAATGTGCTGCTTGCTCATAGAGGCAACTCTCCAGTGGAGGTAAAAATGGAAAGAAGGAAACAACACACTCTCACAACAAAAAATGAATCTTGTATTGAATAACTGTGCCTCTCTTGATTAAATCTCAGATACGGCCACAACAGAACAGGGATGAGAAAGCTCCGTCTCATAGAAGTTGTTAAACCAGTGTTTTTTCTATAAGTAGCCAACATTTTTTGAAAAGTATATAACATAGACAAACCTGGAGACACAGCATAGATAATTAAATCTTTTACTACAAAGCAGGGAAATAAAACTTGTATGGAGCAAATTTATTGCATCGTTTAGTCAAAAGTTAGTCAATTAGATACAAGCATACCTTTGATGTTCAATTATGATGAGTACAGTGACTAACATTACTAGGAACATTTGCTGTAAAATGCTTAAGAAGTTTTATTACAATCAAGTAGTTCATTAAATAAAAATAAACATTACTAGCATTCTATATTCTTCTTCTTAAACTAAACTAGCATGCACACTACTCAGTCATGGCATTTAGTCTCAACAGTTCTGGGCTGTATATCCAAACATATAATACTGAAAAGTCACCATGTATAGTTAAACCAAAAAAAGGCATTCAAAGCTGTGCAAAACCCATTTAAGATGTAGGGGGATGGTGCTGTTCTACAGTTCAGTCACTCATATCTAGACAAGAAATAATTAGAGCAAATTAGCAGTAGCACAGAAACACAGATTGTTCTGCTCTCAAGTGAGCACTGTGTCAGTCAGTCTTTTCCCCATGTGCTGTAGGCCTGTCAGGGGCCTTGTGCAGGCTGCTGTCTCTTTGCATTAAAAATCCCATCAAGGAAAAAAAGAACACAGCAAAAAAAGGTAGCACCCAGTGCCTTGCAAATAACCCCAATGAAAGACATGGCAGGTTCTCATTAACTTTGGCGTCACAGCTGAACAATCTGTGTGTGAGCACAGAAAAGAAGGCAAGCCCAGACTGAGGGGGACTGAGCAACTGCTGGATAAGATATTGAGGAGTGTGTCTTCCTAGACAAGAGGAACAGGGCAAGGGCTGCATGAAAGGAGAAACTCATTTCTCCACAAGTTTAAATGTTTTCTTGAATAACTTAAATGGGCAGGAAGAATGGATAAAAGTACCCAACTCAGCTCCAGCATGGCCTCTGATTCATGCACAGATTTGTTTTAGGCTAGCAAGTCAAGGGACGCGGGTGGCGCTCTGGGTTAAACCACTGAGCCCCTTGAGCTTGCCGATCAGAAGGTCGGCGGTTCGAATCCCCGTGACAGGTGAGCTCCTGTTGCTTGGTCCCTGCTCCTGCCAACCTAGCAGTTCGAAAGCACGTCAAAGTGCAAGTAGATAAATAGGTACTGCTCTGGCGGGAAGGTAAACGGCGTTTCTGTGCGCTGCTCTGGTTCGCCAGAAGCGGCTTAGTCATGCTGGCCACATGACCTGGAAGCTGCACGCTGGCTCCCTTGGCCAATAAAGCAAGATGAGCCCCACAACCCCAGAGTCGGTCACGACTGGACCTAATGGTCAGAGGTCCATAGTACTTAACTAATTGATAACCACTACTCTAGACAACGATGATATAGACTCAACTGGCAGCCAATGGATAAGCAAGAGTCTCAGCTAGATCTGCTGGGGTTGTTGTCCATACCTATCATAGCATAAGCCAAAGCCAAAGCATTACTGAGGTGGTGCTTAAATCATTTACCAGGAACTGACTTGTTACCAGGAAGGGCTGAGTGGGAAATGAAGACGCTACAATACCACAACAGTAAGTGTTGCTTCTTGGGTGACACCACTGCCAATGACACCTGCCCCCAGAGTTGCCTTCCTCGTTCCCCTGCACCACATGAACATACAAAAAGCATTCACCAATGAATCTTATAATTGCCTGGCCAATTCCCAAAGGTTCCAATGAGAGTTTGCCCATCACTAATTGTAGTACTGTGTGCTAGCTCAAATCAGCAGAGTTTAATGAAGCTTTAGTAAATTCAAGTTGCAATCCCATACTGACTAACTTAGAAGTGACTGTCACAGACATCATCAGCAGGGCCTTCTTGCGCATCAGGTGGAGCGAAGCAACTGCCTCAGGTGGCAGAATCCTGCAGGGCAGTACCCCCATGGGTGCCCCACTCTCCCCCTGCTGCCACTGGGATGGTGCAGCTTCCAGGAAGATCTCACAAACTTTCTGTGAGATCTCACTGGAAGCCACCACCATACAACCCTAGTAAGCAAGGCTTCAGTGTGGGGGTGGGGCCAGATTCTCATTTAGCCTCAGTAAGAGAAATGTGACGAGCCACCCCTGATCAATAAGACTTACTAGAAAACATATCTGTTGATCCCTCAAGAACACATCACTTTTAAAAAAGGAAAGAAAAAGAACTGGGATGGAGAGGAATTCCTGCTCACTGCAAGTCATCGCCAGTACATTTCTTGGGAGTATCCCTTCCTGATACAGCCCAGGCAGCGGGTGACTGGGCAAGTCCAGGAAGCAAGTACCCAGTAGCTCTTCTGTCATCTTTCTGGGTGACTCATCCCTCCTTTCAGCTTTTGATAACAAAGGAAAAGGTGGAGGGACAAAGGAGTAAGGTGAAGGCTGCAATCTCACAATGGAGCAGTGCCCAGGGAGTGCCTCAAACGGATGGAAATGGATTTGCGTATTGCTGGCTGAAATTCATCATGGAAGTGATTCACGGTTAGCTGGAAAATGGGTAGCAAAGCATAAGGACTTACTGGGCAGCTTCCATGCATTACACGGTCAAAGGCATGGGATACTTCCTGCTCCCCCTGCCATGCCAAGACTAACCTAGCTACAGGATGTGATGTCTCAGGATGTGAGATCAACAACCACCTTTGGCCTTGAACATCTCTCCCCCCCCATCTCCTCCCTCCTCAGTTTCTCTGTGATTAGGTGATTTGTTTGCTTTCCCAAGAGTTCATGTTGCCCTAAAATGAGAAAAGGCTTTTTTCCCCTGACCTGGGGCAGAACGGCTCAGCTTCGGAGGATGATGTGTTCTCCAGAGGCCTTGGTGATGTATAGCTCAGTAATTAATGAATCTACATTTGGTTTATTCAGTGCAGCTGGCCAAGGAAACACAACTGATGGCAGCACACACACAGAGTGAGGGAGATCCGGAGGCCAGGCTGGGATTGTTTATGCCTTTATGATCTGTTTCCAATAAGGATGATGGATTGTTTGTTTGGGACAGATTTGTTGATATTGTTTGGGAGCTCAATGGATAATTATTTGATGAAGCAGGCCCCAGGTCAGCTGCCCCAAGAGTCAAGATAGCATCTCAAAATGTCCAGGGGACATACTAAGGGGCAAACTCAAGAGACCTCCAAAAAAGAGCCAACCTCGCAATATGATAATGAATGGACAATAGCAAATTCTTATAGCAGCTGTGAACTTTTCCAGTGATGCTCTTTTCCTAATACTACTGTCAGGCTAGGGATGGGCTGCTGAATCTGAACACAGAGGAAGAAGTTCATGTTAGGAAGTCATCTTAAGTCCTAGAAAATTTCTTCAAAGCAGTACTAGTTGCACAAAGCCTAAAATGCATATTTTAACATATTAAGGCTATATGGTGTTGATCAGGGCCAAATTCCTTATTCCCATCTATCAGGTACAGAAATTGGAGTGGTTGTATTATGGAATTCCACCCGTTCGAGCATCATATGCAATGCAGTAATAAATAAAATAAATAATGCTTCTATCAGAAAAAGAGCCTAATTATCTAGCCTGTGCCAAGATTGATGTTCTTTACATAAACTTGCTCACTCCCACAAACTTCACTGCACTGAGAATAGTTTCCATCAGTATCACACTCATATAATCTGAGGGAAAGGGAATACAACACTTGTTAATTTTTAACTGCACCAAGAAGTCTATGAACTGAAGGGAGGTATTTTAGTGTGTGTGTGAAATACACAAACTCAAGAAACTATGGAAATGCAAAGCAAGAAACTCTTAGGAACACAACTGCTGCAAAACATCAGCTTCCAAACACAATTTAAAGTGTTGGCCCTGACCTTGAAAACTCTATACAACTTAAGTCCCGTGCCCTTTAAGGACCACTTGCTTCTATCAGTGGTGTCCAAACCTTTTTCAAAGAGGGCCAGATTTGATGAAGTTGTTGACCTTTTTTGGGACTGAAGTTGTTGAGCTTTTTAAATGATTTTTATCCCAGGAAATAAACTGCCACAGGGGCCAGATTAAACCACCCAGTGGGCCGGATTAGGCCCCCAAAACATGCCTGTAATACATGAAGCTGCTCAGACATCATTGAAATACTCTTCAGACACTCTCCTTTAGGTCCTCCTATCTTTTGAATTGAGGAGGGTGGTGACCCACAAGAGGGTGTTTTCAGGGGTGGTGCCCCATCTTTGGAATACCCTTCATACAGAGGTTTTTCTGGTGCCAGTTTTGATGTCTTTTTGGCTATAGACAAACACTTTCCATTTAACCAAGCTTTTAAGATCTTGTTCTAATGTATATTCATAACTTGCTGGTTTTGGCTTATATATGATTCACTGTTGTTGTTTGCTCTGCTATTTTAATTATGTTACTCACTACGTGATTTTGGTTGTTTTAAAGTTGTTAGCCAATCTGGGAACACTTTGAGATTAAAAAGCAGGGTATAAATCTCTAAGTAAACAGGTAGAATATGTATGTACATAATTCTACTCTTGAGCTTCATCTATGTTTCCAACGACCAGTATGGTATATAGGCTCATATGCTGTGATCTGTCTCTGCAAATAGACCCTTCTAGGAGATCATAGATGAACAAGGGTTTGGATATCTTACTGATCTATGAAAAGGTTCATATAGCCAAAAGGAGGCCACATTAGGCTAAGTGGGAACAAAAGGAGGGGAGGTTCACACACTATGTTTACAACCCATACATATAGTGCACACTCTAAAATGTAACATGTTTATGAGACAGGTGGGTGTTTTGGAAGATGTAGAAAATGCACACATACCAGTGACTGGTTAGGGCTTCCTGACATATATTCACATCTTTTAAAAAATCTATCAATCAATCCAGTTGTCTCTCATAATGTATGAAGTCTTCTAAGCCAGAGGTGACATAGAGGATACCACAATCAGCAGGGGTGGGGAGGATGGAGTCACTCCTCCCTTATCTGGAATTCTTCCTTCCCCCAGGCTTTGTTTTTTTCAGGCTAATTCCTAGACAGGGAATTGTAATCTATGTAGCTCAGCAAGGTCTCTTATCACCCCTGCTGTTTTCTATCAGCTCATAGATTAAAACCTTTTTCAAGGAAATAACAAGTGCACAACCCCTAGAAGCCAGGGGGGTTTGCTAATTACATCATTACTATCCTCTCCCACACAGCAAAGCCACTTGCCTTGTAACAAGGTGGCATCTGCCTTGTAGGGGATCCTAAGCAAGAGAGAAAGGAGTTGGCACTAAACCTAGGATGGAATTGTTTTAAAAATCACATGCATTATAAACAACCACTATCAACCCTCCTCAGAAGCTCTTTATAACGACTTACACTGTGATCTCAAGTTTGCACTTGAGCTATGAAAACAAGAGAAAACCAAGTGCAGGTGTTGAATATCTTGGAGTGGATGGGCAGATGGATGGATGGGTAGATGGGATGGGAAGAAAGAATAGTGCACACATACCCATGAGGGAATAAAATGCTCCATGTGCCAAAAACAAATGGTAAGGTCCTAAAAAGACATTAACGCTGAAGCATTTTGCACAGAGAAATATATATGCTAGGCTACTGCTGCTGCAATAGGCATTTGGTCTACTGTTAAGATTAACTGGGCTGATTTTTATGCCACTATGGCAGGTCCTATCCTCAACCTAGGGATAGGTGTCCACAAAGGAATATGGTAGACTCTAATCTGCAGCTAAACTACCCCACTATTCTTGGGATATCAGCTCAGACTTGCTTTGGATTTTTCAGTCAGCCCAAACTCCAGCAGAGGAGCAAGGGACACTCCACCTGGCTAATCCAATCTCAAAGCAAGATTAAATGAAAGAGAGACAGACGGGCTCCTCCTATCAGCCTGTCCTATCACCCCTTTTGCTCCTCAAGTCCATCTGGTAGCTTCCCAGGGTGCCGGCAGAAACCCTCCTCACCAGTCTGGGTGGAGGCCAATCCTTTGTTTCATTTGGTTGATCTAATAGGATTATAAAACCTCTTCATAAACTCAGAAGAGGTTCAAGTTCCTAGCTGTTTTTCCATCCGTCTGTCTATCCCCATAAATGCCCCTCCATCAGTCATTACTTTGTGCCATTTCCTTCTGCTTGTTGAAGACTCAGTGCTGTAGCACTTGAATCTATTTTTGTAGCAAATCTCCTTGAAAGTTTTCAACCTACTAGACAGGGATCATTGCTGACGAGTCTCTTTGGAAAAGGGATAATGTCTTCCCTGTAATAGTTCTGCACACATTCTACCAGTTTCCCACCCACGCCCTCTTCTTCCTGCTGAGCTGAGATTTGAGCTAACCTTTCCATTTTCCCTGTAGTGCTTAGAGGACTTTAATATATTAGCAGTCACCTTTTCCTTTTATGTGGGTAAAACCTCAGCGCCTAGGGCTTGCCGATCACATGGTCGGCGGTTCGAATCCCCGCGGCGGGGTGAGCTCCCGTCTTTTGGTCCCAGCTCCTGCCCACCTAGCAGTTCAAAAGCACCCCAAGTAGATAAATGGGTACCGCTTTATAGCGGGAAGGTAAACGGCGTTTCCGTGTGCTGCGCTGGTGCCGGCTCGCCAGAGCAGCTTTGTCACGCTGGCCACGTGACCCGGAAGTGTCTCCGGACCGCGCTGGCCCCTGGCCTCTTAAGTGAGATGGGCACACAACCCTAGAGTCGGACACGACTGGCCCGTACGGGCAGGGGTACCTTTACCTTTTTTACCTTTCCTTTTAGTGGATTTGGGCCTGGAGTGCAGGGTCTTCTTGCAATATAAAACAAAATGTTCAGGGCTAAAAGAACAAGCACCTTAAAACCAAAGTGTAATGATGTTCAGAAATTGGGGTACTTAGTTGGGATGTCTATGACTGCAGTCCATGTTTTTTTCTATGTCACTTTATACAAGGTGCATCTGAGGATGTGTCTATAGGTGTCCTTGAATGTGAGATGTGTGGGGAGCTTCACTATGGGTCAACTTCCAGAGCATCTCAGAAACTGCTTTGCTCTTTCTTTTCCCTACTAAATATTTTTTTTTCTAGGGCTATT